TGTATGCAATAAGAGGAACACTTCTGAGAAGCTTTGATGTAAAAGGGGGCAAGAAAAAGGCAGGCAGGAGAAGCAGACTGAATGTAACTTCTGCTAGCACCACTGGAGGCTGGGAGGCAATGGAGCAAGCTTTGGGAGAAAGGCCTACTGCATGTGTGTGCAGAGAGAAGGGATTTTCAGACCTTCAGACCAGGGAAGTCTACCGCACAAGACCTCCTTAAGGTGTTAGAAAGCAAAGATGTCACTTTGACAACTAAAGTACACCTGGCCCACGCCATGGTCTTTTCAGTTACCTCATATGCATCTAAAAACTGGACGATGAAAAAGGAGGCTCTAAGGAAAAACAGTGCATTTGAATTGTATGGTGAAGAATGTTGGACACACCACGGGCCACCAAAAGAGCCATGACATCCTTTTGGAGGAAGCACAGCCACAGTGCTGTCCAGAAGCAGCGACGGCGAGGCTTTGTCTGGCTTCCCTCGGACACGCTTCACGTCTGAAACACCAAACACTAGGACAGGACATCCTGCTTGGTAAAGCAGAACTCACTGCCATCGAGTCAGATCCGACTCACAGTGACCCCTCCATGGGTTTCTGAGGCAGTATTACTACGGAAGTAGATTGCCCAACCTTCCTTCCGAGGAGTGGCTGGTGGGTTTGAACCGCCAGCCTTCTGGTTAGCAGTCAAGTGCCTTAGGCACTATGCTACCAGAACTCCTGGTAAAGCAGAGGGTCAGCAAAAATGAGGGAGCCCCTCCCTGAGACAACTGACACAGTGGCCCCAACAACGGACCCAACAGTCATGAAGCTGGTGCAGAGCCAGGCAGCATTCCCTCCCATCCTGTTGTGCACAAGGTTGGCACGAGTTGGACCCAACTTGACAGCAACCAACAACAGACTAGGAACACTTATCTCCCTTGTAACTATTCCTAAGAAGACAACTGACTATGTGAGGAGTAAACCAGAAGACTGCCAGGAGGACAGGGGGGCCTCTTACAGACCACACACCTGTTTGGAGAAGGAGGGCAGAGGCCCAGGGAAGAGGTCATCATTAAGGAAAAGCCACTCGGTAAAATGACAGTATCTGAATTTAAACAATTGCGGTTTACAATAAAGAGCTGGACAGCATAAAAGAAAAAGAAAGGCAATATCAAACTCTAGGAATATTGAAGCATTCTTCGGGAAAGTCATGGTGAAAAACCGAGTATGTCCTGACTGTAAACGACTCATGGATGTCAGAAAACAGAATCCTCCAATGGACTTCAAAGCCCCTGATCTCCCAGCTCAGCAGAGCCTCTGACCACGGGGACAGCTGCTTTGGAGTGGGTCACATGAGCCCAACTCCACAGACAAGGAGAGGCAGCACATGACCTGGCCAAGTACTGAATAACATTTTCATACCCAACCGTGTAAACCCACTTTATTACTCTTGTCCTCTGAGAGTCGACCAACAGGCAAGCAGACAGACATACAAAAATGTTAGTCTTAAAAATGAAGATAAACATGTAGCTAGCTGATGGAAGGAGAGGTAGGGACAACAGGCGCATCTCACACAGAAAAGACAAGATAACATTCCAAATGGATGGAGCAAGGCTAGGAGCATCAGTACGCTCTTCAGAAGCACAAAGAAATCTGAGGAAGACCTAAGAAGAATTATGGGAAGCTGCCATTGGAGGGGAGGGGGGATGGGAGATGGGTCACCCTGATTCATTTTTCATATGAGGGACCAATAGGTTTTACCTAAAGACGATGGCAAATCAGGACACCGAGGTGTATGCTTGCCACCAGAAGTGTTAGACTAGAAATGGTTAGAAGAAGTGGCCTCAAACATTTGATAGTTTCTCAAATAATTAAACACAGAGTTGCCATATGACCCCACAATTTCATGCCTTGGTGTATACTCAAGATTTAAAACACTCTTCAAACAGATGTATGTTTACCAATGTTCATTGCAACCCTACTGGCAGCAGTAAAGACCTGGCAACAACCAAGTGTCCACCAGCGGATGGATTGTGTCTGTCCATATAGTGGGACATCTTCAGCAATCTGAGGAGTGAAGATGCCCATACACTCTGGGACATGGGTGAGTCTTAAAAGCATGGTACGTGGATTAAGTTATGCACGAAAGGTCACGTGTTACGATTCTACTCGTAAACATGCAACCTGGGCTAACCCACAGATGCCAACAGCAGAGCAGTGGCTGCCAGGGCTGAGGGTGGGGAGCAGTGGGAATGACTGCTTGATAAGCACGGGGTCCCCTTTTGGGGGTCCTTTTGGGGTGAGGGAGATGTTCTAGAATGACAGAGGTGGTGGATGCTCACTGTTGGGGTGGACCATGGGTGCTTCAGAGTAAACCATTTAGCCCTGTCTTAAGGGCTTTGGGGTGCTTTTCCCCACTTTATCCTGCAGCAAATCATTTTTACTGCAAAGTATTGGATTAGAAGTTTTTAAAAACTCATCCTTCACCATGTTCACTTGGGAAATACTGTCCTCTATCATGTGTGGTTTGTGACCACAGGCACCTGGACCGTTTGCTTGCCTTTTGGTTGACTCTCAGAGGAAAAGAGTAATAAAGTGGATTTACACGGCCCATTCCAAAGAAAGGTGATCCCACAGAATGTAGAAATTATAGAACAATATCACTAATATCACATGCAAGTAAGATATTACTGAAGATAATTCAGAAACGTTTGCAGCAGTATATTGACAGAGAACTTCCAGAGGTTCAAGCCGGATTCAGAAGAGGACGTGGAACAAGGGATATCATAGCTGTTGTCAGATGGATCTTGGCTCAAGGCAAAGAATACCAGAAAGAGGTTTACTTGTGTTTTATTGACTATGCAAAGGCATTTGATTGTGTGGGTCATGACAAATTATGGATAACATTGAGAAGAATGGGAATCCCTGAGCACTTGATTGTACTCATGAGGAATCTGTACCTTGACCAGGAGGCTGTCGTTCGAACAGAACAAGGGGACACTACATGGTTTAAAATCAAGAAGGGAGTGCGTCAGGGTTGTATTCTTTCTCCACACTTATTCAATCTATATGCTGAGCAAATAATCCGAGAAGCTGGACTATATGAAGAAAAACGTGGTATCAGGATTGGAGGAAGAATCATTAACAACCTGAGATATGCAGACGATACAACTTTGCTTGCTGAAAGTGAGGATGACTTAAGGCACCTACTGATGAAGGTTGAAGAATACAGTCTGCAGTATGGATTACATCTCAACATAAAGAAAACAAAAATCCTCACAACTGGACCAATGAGCAGCATCACAATCAATGGAGAGAAGATTGAGGTTGTCAAGGAATTCACATTGCTTGGTTCTACAATCGATGCCAACGGAAGCAGCAGTCAGGACATTAGACGACGTGTAGCATTGGGAAAGTCAACTGCGAAGGAACTGTTTCAAGTGCTGAGGAGCAAGGATATCTCCTTGAGGACTAAGGTGCGCCTGACACAAGCCATGATATTTCCAATCACCTTGTATGCATATGAGAGCTGGACAATGAATAGGGAAGACCGAAGAAGAGTTGATGCTTTTGAGTTGTGGTGCTGGCGAAGAATGCTGAAAGTACCATGGACTGCTAAAAGAACTAACAGATCTGTCCTGGAGGAAGTGCAGCCAGAATGCTCCTTGGAAGCGAGAATGGCCAGACTTCGTCTCACCTATTTTGGTCATGTTGTAAGAAGGGACCATTCCCTGGAGAAGGATGTCATGCTTGGTAGGGTGGAGGGTCGACGAAAGAGGGGGAGGCCTTCAACGAGATGGATTGATACAGTGGCTGCGATGATGGGCTCGAGTATAGCAGGGATTGTGGGGCTGGTGCGGGATCGGGCAGTGTTTCGTTCTGCTGTGCATGGGGTCGCTATGAGTCGGAAACGACTCGACGGCACTTAACAACAACAACACGGCTGGGTATGAAAATGTTATTCAGTGATGCAGCACAGCAGGGTCTGGGATACTAAGCTGGCTCACCTCCTGGGTGTCTATTCAGAAAGCTGGCATCTCCCCACAGGGCCCTGGCCACAGAGCTGTAATGCCGCTCAGCTCTGTCCCAGTGAGAACACAGGCCTCCCAACCTGTGTTAACAGATAACAACCAAACCAAAGCCACCCAAAAAACAACAGCCTCTCACCAACCAGCCTCCCTGAGCCCCAACCCCCAGCCCAGGAGCCAATGGAGACCACCCCATGTCCTTCCCAGCCAGGGCCGTGTGAGCTCTGCACCACCCAGCAGGCAGCCCTGTCCTTCCAGCAGGCCCTCTAGGTCCACCCAGGGCTCCTCCTCCCAGCCTGTGCATGGGTCGGCTATGGGGCCGTGGAGGAGCAGCACCTGGCCCAGGGGGATGGAGGCTGGAGGAGGCACAGGCCGGGAATACGTGGTCACCTTGTTGGGGTGTTCCCAGGGCCAAGGGGGTCCCCATCCCATGCCCAGCCTGCCCTGCCCACAGATGGCCTCAGAGATGACAGGAGGAGACACATCTCGTTCATCTGCTCAGTGGCCAACTGCCTGGAGGCGTGAGACGGGGTCTTATCAGCCCGCAGGCATCTGCAGGGGAGATGGGATTCAGGTCACCCTCCAGCTGCAGCCAACCCTCCCCCCACACCTCTCTCTGCCTGCCCTCCCTCCCCCGCCCCCACACCTCTCCTTCTGGTTAATGCTGGACAGGGGTAAGGGCCGCCCAGCCCCTCCTGGCTGTGACACTGGCAACTGCCCTCCTGCAGGAGGTCAGGGCATCAGCCAGCACATAGCGGGGGGGGGGGGGGCTGATGGGAGAGCCACATCACCCATTCCAGGACACTGGGTGCCAGGGCCACTACCACGAGGGGGGCCCTCCAGGCTGGATGAGCAGATCAAGGCCTCCTGGGCCCTGAGGGTGAGACCTCAACCAGGAGAGCCCCTCCCACTTGAAGGTCATTGATAGAGTCCGAGTGCCAGGACTCAAGGGGCAGCAACTCTGCAGTTGGGTCCTGCCCTGTGGCTTCTCACAAGGACTGCCAAGGAGGCAGGGGTGGCAGGGACAGGGGTGGCTCTCGGTGGATGAAAGTGGAACGTGGGGTCAGGATGTGCATCCAGGGGCTGATGGTGAGGCCGGGGCTGGAGTGTCTGCAGGGCCTATCTGGGAGGCTGAAGGCCGGTGGCGGGCTTGGGGGAGCCTAGGAGAGGCAAGGGGTGGGCATTGTCAGGCTGTCCCTGATGGATCATGGGGCCCCTCCAGCACAGGGGTGCTCACAGGTGGCTGGGCCCCATCCTGCTGCCTGTTCCACCCTGGGGCCCTGCTCTGGGGGCTGTGAGATGCCAGAGACCACCCCCTCAGCTCCCAATACTGGGTGCGGCCTCTGGAGCTGGTGGGAGAGGCCTCCCATGGCCCACTGGGTCTGCCTGACCCTGGCACTCAGGGAGGGTAGGGGAAGGTGGAGGTCCTCCCGTGGGGAGGGGGCAGTGATGGACAGCTCCTCTGCCCCCCACGCAGCACCTGGGCAGGACCCAGGTGTTGGCTGGCAGCCAGCAGCCAGAGCCTCCTGGTTGAGGGGAGGCCGGGCCCTTTGGGAACAGGAGCAGCTGGGCTCCCTGGGGATGAGAGCAGCCGCACCTGGTGCTGGTCGCCACCCACGGGCAGTCCCTAGGGGTAGAGGCCTCCGTGTTGTGGAGAGGAGTGTCCAGCACCCCCATCACACCCCAGGATCGTCTCTGAGCCCCATGCCACCCCAGCACTGGGACGACCATGAACAGGCACAAGCCTGCCTGCAACGCGTAGGCCACCATGGGGATGTCCTTCCAGAGTGTTCCAGGGACTCACCTGCTCAGCCCAACCTCAGCCTGAGAGAAATGATGCCAGAAGGTCAGCCTGGGAGGTGGCTCCCTCAGCCGCCAGACGCTCTGCTCATTGCACACACTCCCACATGCACACGTCCATATGCACATGTGCTCACGTGTGTACACTGAAATTCTCATGTGTAGAAGTACACACACACATCCATATGTGCACTGTCTACCATGCACTCATACCCCATATACATTCACACCATGTCCACACTCACACCCACATGCATGGTCACATCTGTACACACTCACACCCCATACACACTCACACCCATGCCCACACTCACACAACCACGAGGATGGTCACATCTGTGCACATACTCACATCTACACACCCACATACATGATCACACCCCCACTCACATCCACATGCACAGTCATGTCTGTGCACACTCACATGCCATACATGTTCATACCTACACTCACACCTCATGCATGGTAACATCTGTGCACACTCACACCCCATACACACTCACACCCTCGCCACACTCACACCCACATGCATGCTCATGTCTGTGCACACTCACATCCCACACACACTCACACCCATGCCCACACTCACCCATGTGCATGGTCATGTCTGTGCACACTCACATGCCATACACGTTCATACCTACACCCACACTCACACAACCACATGCATGGTCACATCTGTGCACACTCACACCCCATATACAGTCACATCCACGCGCACACTCATACCCACATGCACACACAGTTACATGTACATACCCACATACTTGATCACACCCAAGCACACATTCACCCCCCCACATGATCGTATCCACGGACACACACACAGACACACACATGGGATGCCCAGTGGAGAGTGAGTGCCGAGGGCCACCTGAGCTGGGTCTGTGGGCAGGAAAGCAACTGCAGGATGAGCAGGGAAGACCTGGCCATGGGAAGGGAGATGGTGGGGTAGACGGGCCTAGGCTCAGCTGACCAGGCCCACACTCTGTAAAGTGCCCTCTGCCCCTTCAGGGCCCCAGCTGGTGGAAGCTGAGCCCCACCTGTGGCCAGCACAGGGTAGGTAGTCTCTCCTACTCCAGGGCCCGGGGGGGGGGCAGAGCCCACTGTCCTGGAGGGCCAGGTGGGACTAGTGCATCCCCCGCCCCTGGGCCCAGGCTTGTGGGCATCCAGGTGGGGGGCATTCCCTCCTTCTAATGTACACTCAGGCCCAGGAGTGAAAAGAGCATGGAAGGGAGGGAGAGGGGCAGCCGGCTGTGTGGGGTGGGGGGTGAAGCAGGAAGGCCAGGCCACATCTGACCCACCCTCCTGACCACTAGCTTTCAGCTCCAAGCAAAGCATGTACTGTGGCTGGGGGGAGGGGCCTGCTCAGTCTGGTGGTCAGAGCCCCCACCCCCAGACCACGAAAGCTCCCCAGCTGGTCTCCAAACCCTGAGCCGCCTCTACAAAACCCTCCCCCTCCTCATTCCTGCCAAACCACTATCTGTTGCCATGGTGACAGAGCAGCAGAGGCACGCAGCATCCTGAGCCCCCCCACCCAGCCTGTTCCCTTCAGCTGGGCCACAGGCTCAGAGAAGACATGGCTGCAGCCCCAGCCCCTCCCAGTGATAAGCCACAGCCTGAGACTCACTAACAGCTCCCTTCTGCACACGCAGGCTCCTGGGAGCCCCCTTCCACCGCCACCCCCAGTCACACAGCCAACCTAGCCCTGCCTAACCTGCATGTGGAACCTGGCTCATAGCTGCTGAGACCCTGACCCACCCTGGGGCTCCTGGGGCTGACAAGTACACAGGCTTCCCCTGCAGTGGCCCTGGGACATGGGGCGTGGCCCAATGCAGTCCAACTGCCAGTCTATGGAGAAGACCCCTCTCCAGGTGCAGCAACTCACACAGCACCCCCAACTCCAGGAGCCAGGAGAACCCTGGCTGCTGGGCAATGGTGATGCTGAGTAGGTGGTCAGCTCAGTGGGCACCCTGCCCCCAAGTAAACTCCAGATGGACAGAGACAGCAGGAGCAAAGCAACCACTTTCTGCTGGGAGCCAAGAGCTGCGGATGCAGGGAGAGCCCAGCCATGGCAGCTGCTGAAACGCGCAGCCGTGGCTCCTCCCTCCAGTGCTCTCGAGGCACCTTGTATCAACCCATCTGATTCTCAGAGCAACTCTAGAGGTAGACCCCATGAGTACCCCTTTACAACAAGGAGTCCGAGGCTATGAGAGGCCAAGGGCCTGCCCAAAGTAGCACAGCACGTGAGCAGTGCACGCAGAATCGGAGTCCACTCAGCCTCACTGGGGCCTGTGGTCACACCTTTCCTTTCTTTGAGCCCTTGGCAGGCAGGTAGGCAGGTAAGCAGTTAGCTGTCATCAGGTCAACTCCAACTCATAGTGACCTTACGTATAACAGAAAGACACACAGCCAGGTCCTGCACCATCCTGACCATTGTGAGCACTCCTGAGCCCATCACTGCAGCTCCTATGCCAACCCAGCACCTGTGCTGGCCCTGACTTCACTGGCCACGACGTCCTCACCTAGTGGCTGATGCCGCCTGAGACAACTCCTGGTGGGACCCACTGGGTCTCTGCTGGCTGTTTGCAGAAGTGGACTATGCGGTCTTTCTTCCTATCTCTTAACCTGGAGCTCCTCTGAAACCTGTCCACCAAGGGTGGCCCTGCTGCCTCACAGTGTGACTCAGGGACAGACACATGGTGGGAGCCTTTGGCGTTCCTCCCTGAAGTCTGGTCCTCCACCAGCCCTCCCATCTCAGCCATTTCCCAACAGTTTTATTGAGGCATCGCCCACACGCTGTGGATGGTACGTGTCTAAGAGTGAAGACGGATCTGTGAAGACATCACCACTGTCAGTGGTGGACATCCCAGCCCCAAACATGTCCCTGTGCCCCTGTGCACCGTTATCCTCCACCGGCAGCTTCAGGCTTGCTGTCTGTCCTAGCCAATGGGTGGCTCAAGTTCTCAAGGACCGTGGACAAACAGAATTGGTGGACGCCACACTGCGTAGAGGCAGCCAATGCAGAGGCCGGGATCCAGTGCGTGCAAATACACTGTAAAGCAGCGGCCCGGGGCAACCAGGGTCCCTTCGGAAGCAAAAAGTTCTGACAGCCTATCTTCAAACCCTCACCCACAGCAGTTTACCAATGAGCCAGGGATGCAGACAGATCACACTCAAGACAAATACAAGTGACAACGCTTCCTGCAGGAGGGGCATCTCCTGTCTGCTGGCACCTGTCTGCCCTCTCTCCTGCCCACCAGTCTGTCCCCAGAAAGGGGCTCATGCTCACTCAGTGAGGGGCCTGGAAGGTGTCTGAGCCGCCCACAAGGTGCAGTGAAAGGGGAGCCCAGCATGGCCACCATGTCACAGGCATGGTGGGGGTGGGGAGGAAGCCAGAGGAGGCTCACAAAAGAGTTGTGGTGGGGGAGATGGAGGCGTCAAGGGTACCAGTACCCCCAGGCTGCAGCCCACCGGGGCACCTCCCGTGGGGGCCTAGGTACCACAGGACCCCAGAGGACCATGGAGCAGGGAGTAGGGTGGAGGCAGCCTTGGCCCCTGTTAGCAGGGAGGCAGAGGTGGGGGGAGGGGAGGTCCAGGAGAGATGTGTCCTCTTCAGGCCTCTCTGACCCCGCCCTGGGGATGGTTCAGAGTCGGAGGGAGCCGAGTGACCCTCACAAATTCTGACTGGGCAGCTCGGAGAGGGTGGTCCCAGCCCCTCTCCACCAGCAGGCGGGCAGGGCCTGGGTGTCACAGCCCGAGGGAGGGAGAGGAGGGGAATCCCCTTGCTCCTGCTGGCACTAGCCTGGGAATCACACAGCTGGTTACCATGACGACGCAGAAGGCAGCTGAGAGAAGCCGCCTCCAGGTGTGATGTAACCAGAGAGGGATTACTGCAGGGTGAGGTGGGCAGCCCCTCCCCCACCCGAGCCTCCCCCTTCCCCACCAGACCCCACTGGGACCCCCTCCTCTTATCCTCCAGGCTTCACTCTCCCAGCACAAGGAGGCCTGGATCCAAGCAGAAGCAGGCCCTCTGCCTGTGGCTCAAAGGGGGCAGCACCATCCCTGGTGCCCCCTCTCCTCACTCCCAGGCCGGGCGCCTCCTGCTCCCCCAGATGCAGAAAGCCACCTTCCACACCCAGAGAGCCCGCAATGCCAGAGGGCCGGGAGGGGTCCGTCCCCCAGTCCCAGGAGCTCGCAGCCAGGCGGGTGGAGGGGACAAGGAGGGGACTCCCAGCGGGATGGGTCTGCCAGGCCCTTCGGGGGCCCTCCTCCCTGGGGGCGGGGCAGTGCTGTGAGGTCCTAGGTCTCAGGACAGCTCCAGAGGATTCTGGGCCCAGAGCAGCCAGTTGCCCCATGACGGCTGCTCTCCAGATCCCCAAGTTCAGGCTTTCTGAGGCCGGCGGGGGCCATGTCTCCAAAGCTGGCAGTGCCAGGTGATTACATTAGACAGTTATTAGCTGTTTTGCAACGTGGTACTGTAAAACCAGCCCCATGAAATGTATGGATTGAATTCAGTCACTTTGCAGTCATTCAGCTTGCAAACTGTTCTCTTGCTTATGCTTCCGTCCCAGTTGAAGCAGGACACGCTCCTTCCTGGGGGGCATGGCGGGGCCAGGGCTCTGATACCAGGCTGATGCTGGAGACACCAGGGTGCCCACACACTACTGGCTGTGGGCGGGTCCATGCATCTGTGTCTGGGTGTCTGAGTGCGGGTCTGTGCGTGGCTGACCCACCTAGTGGGCTAGTGGAGGGGAAGTGGGGTTGGGGCTGGAGGCCCAGGGAAGAGAAAGGAGTCTTTCCAGGGTCTGCCTGTGCTTCTGTGCCAAGTCAGGCGGGAGGTAGGGCAGGCGTGTCCCAGGTAGGCAGGTTCACACCTAGTGTGAAGAGTCCCACGCTGGCTGGTGGAGGCAGGGGAGGGGAGCCCAGAACAAGAGGAATCTCCCCTACTTGTGGGAACAGGACAGCAT